TCTGTTGTCACCATGTAGACCCCTATCTGACCACAACCTTCATGCTCCTGATCTTTCATTCAGTCACTTCCAGGCTATCTGTTCTGCTTTTTATCTTTTTAAAAAACAGATTTTCCTTTGGGGTATAACTGACATGCATATTTAATATGTACATTTTGCTAAGTTTTGACATAGTATATACCTGTGAAACCATTACTGCCATCAAGATAATGAACATAGTCATCACTCCCAGAAGTTTTCTCATGATTCTTTCCCATCCTTCCCCATGTTACTCCCCAGTCCCAGGCAACCATTGATCTGCTTTTTGTCAATGTAGATTAGTTTGATTTTTCTACAGTCTTAGTAGAATCATGCAGTGTGTCCTCTTTTTTGTTTGGCTTCTTTCACTCAGTTTACTTACTTTGTGATTCATTTGTGTTGGCACATATATAATAGTTCATTGCTTCTTAGTTCTGAGTAGTATAGCATTCCACTGTATGGCTATACCATAGTTTATCTGTTCACTTGTTGATAAGCATTTGGGTTGTTTCTAGTACTTGGCCTCAAATAAAGCTTTCTTGTTTGTGTACAAGTCTTCATGTGGGCATGTGCTTTCCTATCTTGAGAATGGAATGGCTAAATCATATAAAGGTGTATGTTTAACTACTAGACTATTTTCCAAAGAGCAAGGTTGACATTTCTACCAGCAAGATGAAAGTTCTCGTCAAGACTTGATGTGATCAGTCTTTTTATTTTAGTGGTAATGGTATCTTGTGGTTTTAACTTGCATTTTTCTAATGACTAATGATCTTGAGCATCTTTTCATGTGCTGTTTGCCATCAATATGTGGTGAAGTATATGTTCAGTGGTATGGTATCACACAGTTATTTATTTATTTATTTATAAGATTTTATTTATCTTTAGAAAGGGAAAAGGGGAGAGAGAGAGAGAGGGAGAGAAACTTCAATGTGTGGTTGCCTCTCACGTGTACCCACTGGGGACCCGGCCCACTACCCCAGGCATGTGCCCTGTTGGGGAATTGAACTGGCAGCCCCTCAGTTCGCAGGTTGACACTCAAGCCACTGAGCCACACCAGCCAAGATATTGCTCAGTTTTTTAAAATGAGTTGTTTTCCTAATATTAAATTTTGAAAGTTCTTTATTTATTCTGGATTTAAGTGCTTTATCAAATATATGACTTGAAACTATTTTCTCCCCATTTCTGGCTTGTCTTTTTATTCTCTCAGTAATGCCCCTCAAATAATAGAAGTTTTTAATTTTGATGAAGTTCAGCTTACCAATTTTTCTTTTATGTATTGTGCTTTTGGGGACCTATCTAAGGAATCTTTGCTTAACCCAAGATCACAAAGATCTCCTGTGTTTTCTTTTCGAAGTTTTATACTTACATGTTTCACATTTAGTTCCTTGATTCATACTGAGTTAATTTTTGTTAATTTCAAATTCTTCCAGTGGACTGCTGCTCTCTTGTATTTGTTATAGACATTATAGTGCCAGAAGGTCTGTGTTCCTGTTCCACTGGCAGCTTTTGGGCAACCTTACACACCAGCACCCAAGGGGGTGTTTCTCTGTGTTTTTTGCCTCTTCCCTGGTGGTATACTGCCATTAATTATTGATTAGGTATATATAGGTTACTGATATATAGAGGGAGTTTTTTAAAAATTAAAATGAAGAAAGGAATTTATAATGTTAAATTTAGATTTGAACTATCTTTGTGAACTTGGGGCCTTCAAAATATCTTTAAAAGATTGTCACTTCTTACGTGGACAACAATGTGGTGATTGCGGGTGAAGAGGGATATAAGGGAGATAAATGGTAATGGGAAAAATACAATAAAAAATGAAATAAAAAATTGTCACTTCTGTCTTGGGAGAAATTGTCAAGATTGGCAATTCTTGGAATTGAAAATGAGATAAGCAAGAAAGTATATTTAGAAAATATTGATGAATTTGGTTCCATTAAGCCAGGAAAACAAAATTATAGTATATTCTGTTTTACCAATATTTAAAATAATGTGAGTTTTAATACTTTTAATACTTTCAATATTGAGTTTTTTAAATTTTTCAATATTTTTTCAACATTTTAATGTTTGGGAAAAAATTGGCCATTAAAAATACATTAAAAAATGTATATAGTGGTATATATTTTTCCTTTTATCCCAGGCTCCAGTATAGTTCAGCTCAACACTGGTACTTACTTAAGATTTTGGATTTTTTTCATGAATTTTTATTTTTAAAACTATTTCATTACAATATTTACTTTAATTACTGAGTTTTTGTTGCCTCCTTAAATTTTGTGCAGGACCCTCACTCTTCTTATCCTAGGCCCAGCCTTGGTATTCTTACTGCCTCTTCAAAAGTAATGACATATTTAAAGGATTTTTATAGAATACAGTAAATGTTAGTCAATGGGAGTTCGAAGTTCAGAGAATCAGTTCAACTGGTTAAATTTTACTTATTTATTTATTCCTTTTTTTTCACATGAATCAATATAGTGACAACCAGTAGGGTTGATGAGATGGGGTGGGTATGATCAATCATAGTTTGGATGAGTTTAACAATCAAACAGGTAAGATAGAGAAACTTTTTGGAACTAAAATGAAAAGGATTCTATAATGGTAAAGTTAGAGTAGAAATTTCTTTGTGAATTTATGGTCTTAAGATATACCTCAAGTGGCCAGGCAAGGCTCTCAGGTACATACTACGAATTCTCATGTTGAAACCTTCTGCTCTTGTACTTCCACTGCACAGATTTGTTCTTATTTGAAAAGAGTTCCTTAATTTGCTTTTCATATACCAGACACTGTTCTAAGTATTTTACATATATTAGCTAATTTAAACCTCATTAACAATTCTTCATGATAGGTACTGTCATTATCCCATTTTATAGAAGAGAAAACTGAAGTGTGGTGAGATTAAGTAACTCACCCAGGTTACACAGTAAGTACAGAACCTAGATTTGAACCCCAGCAGCCTTGCTCCTGAATCTGGCTTATAACTGCTAAACTGTACTGCCTCACATGTACAAAAGTTCCTTAGTACAACAGGATGGAATAGATCATATATATAATAGATTTCTATTGCTGATTAACAAATTACCAGACAAATTTCAGAATGTTGTGGACTGTTGACAGATATGGGTCAGACATTCAGACATTGTGTATGTCTCCGTAAAGTCTGACGTACATTTATTTATTTATTTACTTATTTTTGAGTTTGATCTTTTAAAATGCATTTTTCTACTCCCTGAATAGAGAAGAGTGGATATAGGCAATTGTGGGTAGGTCAGAAGTCAAAAATAAAAATGTTGGACCCATTCCAACAAGGAGAAGGGCTGCCAAACCCCAGTGGTCACACATTATGATCAGAAGAGTTACTGAGAATGTGTTGCAAGATGATAGATTTGCCAGATGTCTGGGAAATCTGTACAGACTTCACCCAGAATCTCCTGGGAGGTGGAATGTCTGTTGGCCCTGCCAAGCACTAGGAGTCCTCATAGGCATATTGGAACAAATAATAAACTGAGGCAGACCTGACTTTGTCTAAGAATGGATAAAGGTGGAGGCAAAGGACAAAGCCCCAGGTTGAGAGAAGTTGTGGGAAAAAACAGTCCCATGGGCACAGGTACTTGAACGTAGTGTGAAGGACCTCAGCCAATAAATGCTGGCTCTAGACTAAATATGGTCTGGACTCCATATGGTTTGGTGATGGGAGAAGTGGAGGAAGGAGGTCACTTTAATGTATCTGAATCACAAACCATTAGTGATTGAGTGCTATTACCTAGTCTTAACAACTGTGAGTTTCCAGAGAGCCACAGTATTAGGTGCTATAAACAGTATAACAGTTACAAAAGGTTCCTTCACTTAGCCAGTGATTTTGTTCTGGCTAATGTATTGCTAATGTGTATGCATTTAATTAACATACATATATCTGTCCTCATAGATATAACCTGTAGCAATTGTTGAGACACTGGCTTTTTTTCTCGGTGGAGTAAATGTGATTTGATATCCAATTTTTCTAAAAAAAATTTGAGTGGACGAAAAGATTTCCTTGCACAAGACTTTCAATAATTTTTTTTTTTATTTTGAAGGATTACTTCCTTTTTTGAGGTTAAGATTCCATACAGAGGCTACATACGATATTTAGTCGGCGTTGGCAAGCCATCTTCATACTAAGAACATGAACAAATTTATAGAATAATAAGAAATGTTTTTATTGTCAAAAGAGAGACTTTTCTAATTATAGGGCACTGCAGCACCAGTCTTTTTGCAGTTGACATGTAGTTCTGAGTAAATCTTGATTCCACTCCTTGATAGTGACGAAAGAGCTCTGCTAGAGGATTTATTGATGGACCAAACCCATAAATGGAGTTGCCATTGCAAGCAGAGAAACATGCTGTCCTGAATATTTGTAAAATGTTCTTGTAAAAATGTCTTGTGAGCAGTAGTTTTGTATCATTTTTACCTTTAGAGATTTTTAAAAAATCATTCATTTTATACATGATAAAAAATATTTGCACATAATCTGCTGTAAGCATCAGTTTCCTTAATATCAATAATTTTGGCACTTTTAAAAGAATTTTGAATAGGTTGATACTCAAAGCACTTTTATCTTAAAAACATCTCTCCTGTGATATTGTATTGCTCCTGAAAGTCAGTCTCCTTTTATTTTTTTAAAAAATTATGTCTTTCATCAGCCCTGGCTGGTGTGGCTCAGTGGATTGAGCTCCAGCCTGCAAACCAAAGCGTCGCCTGTTCAATTACCAGTGTACGGCACATGCCTGGGTTGCAGGCCAGGTCCCCAGTAGGGGTCACGCAACATGCAACCACACATTGATGTTTCTCTCCCTCTTTCTCTCTCCCTTCCCTTCTCTAAAAATAAAGAAAATAAAATCTTTAAAAAAATTATGTCTTTCATTATGAGAATGTTTTTTATTTCTAAAACTTTTATAAATAGATCTTAAATTTATATGCTTCATTTCTGATTTATTGTTTTAAACTTCCAGGCTCAACTTTAAAGAAGCTTCTGCACACTGGAAATTCTATTAAGGTATTTATTTGAGATGAATATGTAATGGCATTTTTAATTACTCTTAAGTTATTCCATAAAGTAGCAAAATTAAGTCACTTTAATAACCACTTTACTCAGTTTTTAATTAAGAATTATATTTCTTAATTAAAGGGGTTTGTTCTTCCATCATAACTTGTAATAGACATCTTAAATATTATTAAGAGAAACTGGCTTGGGATTTGGAGTTTAGAATTTTGAGTTCTGTTTTTGATTCTGCTGTGTACAGTAAGGGAATCAGTGACAACATGCTAACTGCCCCAGTTTTATCACCAGAAAGGGAAGGGGTTGAACTACTTCCTCTCTAAGCTTGAGATCTAATGTCCCTCTATTCACCCCAGTAATCTTGTTCTTAAAATTGTAGTTGTCTGTGAGTTATTTTTGAGCACCATTGTGTGGGAAAAGAATAATAGAGACTTCCTCTTGAAAATTTATTGATTTACAGCAGATCTTGTAATTTAAGTTAAAACTGGCTTATTTTAAAATCAATATGCTGCCCTGGCTGGTGTGGCTCAGTGGATTGAACGCTGGCCTGAGAACCTAAGAGTCGCCGGTTCAATTCCCAGTCAGGGCACATGCCTGGGTTGCAGACCAGGTCCCCAGTAGGGGGCACGCAAGAGGCAACCACACATTGATGTTTCCCTCTCTTTCTCCTCCCTTTCCCTCTGTCAAAAAATAAAAAAGTAAAATCTTTAAAAAAAAAAAAAAGCCCTTTAAAAAAATATACTGAATATGCCTTTTATAATGACATACCATTTGATACTGGGATGACACTCAAAAATCATTGATGAAAGAAGCCAGCCTGGAATGTATGTTTTATGGAAAGTAATTCACTTGTAGCTTGTTAGGTTATATGTGTGCCTTTAATAAGCTAATACATTTTTGGTTTTATACCAGTTTAAAACATCTTAGCCAATTAAACATGGTAAATTAAGTATTTCTTACATGTTGAAAAAACGGAAGTGAGCTAATCCTAGCTTCACAGTAGATTCCATGTTTTGTCTCTCTTACTTTAATTAATAGTCTTGCAGTTAAAACTGTCAGATCATATGTCATGTTTATTATTGGCCTTATTTCTGTTTAGTTATCTTAAATACAGTTAACATAAAAAATTGAAAGCTTACGATAGAATTTTAAAGAAACTTTCCTTTTGTTAAATTTAATATAATTTGGTTAAGTATACATAGAGCCATGTCATTTTGGCCTGATGCTGAATAACATTATGCATTCAGCAATGTCACCACTTCTTTTACCTGCTTGGAGAGAGGACAGGTGTGAGTGGGCATGGAGGTTTGTGTAGAGAAGAGTAGTAAGTCCACAAGTGTGTTTGAAAGTGTGCTGTGGAATTCATTCTTAATGGGAGCAGCACTGTCACTAGTCTTCTCTGGTGAATTAGCCAAGTTTTTCTTTCTTTTTTTTCCTTTTTCCTTTTTTTTTAATTTTATTTTTTTTGGTTCGGGGGTGGTGGGGCAGTCTTTTCCTTCTCTTGGCTTTTCTGCAGAGCTTCTTGTTTGGCTTGATGAAGGAATCCACACCTTGGTGTAATTGAAAGGAGATCAGGCAGTCCCTCAGTTACCTACATTTGGAACTCACTAATCTTTCATCTGTGTCTGACATTTTTTTCATCTCTTTTGTTATTTTACTTCTTTTATTGACATTGTCTTTTCAGCCATTTAGGAGTATAGAAATGGAAGTACCTGTGGTTATGAATTCTTGGAATGGAATAAAGTTGGAAGTAAGTGTAGAAGAGGAAGAAGGACACATCTACCTCTGTAGATGTTTTCTATACATCTGTAGAGGTAGATGCCCACCATTCAGAGCACGGCAAAGGTGTTGAGAAAATAGAGTAGGGATATAAGGCAGGGAAGTTGGATAGCTGTTTCATCCCATTGAGCCAGTTCTTTAAGGTCTTAGTTAGCTCTAAGTGTTTTGATGTACAGGGACATTGTACTTGTGCATATTGTAGTGACATGACATAAATGCTGTCCAAAGCACAGTGTAAATTTGGAGGAAGATTATCTTTGCATTGTTTTCATGGATAATTGAGTGTTGAAGATACAGGAATTGTGCCTTTTGGAATGAAATATAGTTAAGAGGAAGTAAATAGTGCTTACTGTGAGTTAGGCATGGTTCTAACTCATTTAATCCTATACCAGTACTTTGTGGTAAATTCTGTTATCATCCCTATTTTACAGTTGGAGAGACTAAAGCACAAAGAAGTTAAGTGGTTCTCTACAGGTCACAACTAAGCTAGAAAGTGCCACAGACTGCATTTGACCCCAGGCACTCTGGCTCCAGAACCCCAGCTCTTAAGCTTTGTGCTGTATTGCAACATCTTTACTTACTAGTTACTAAGTAAAGAACTTTGTGCAGTACTTTAATTTAACAATACCTTTCACTTCTGATTTTTCTTTCTCAGAACTGATGCTATATTGCAATGCATTTCTGCAAGTACATATGTTTAATTTTGTTGCTTTTATTTATTTATTTTTAGATAAGATGCGAAGGAATCAGGTTGTTTCTTCTGTGGCTTCAAGCACTTCAGACAAACTGTGCGGAAGAGCAGGTGCTGATTTTTGCTTCCCTTGTTCCTGGTTTCCCAGCGATCATGTCCTCCAGAGGGCCCTGTACTCTGGAGACACTCATCAATCCAAGCCCTAATGTAGCTGATGGTGAGTGATGTGAGCAGATCTTACACGTTGAAATGACTCTTGAAGTTACATTGAGGAATTCCTCTGTTTGCTATTTTCTTGAATAGATATCTTGATTTCATAAATGAATTTTAAGGAGGAATTATTTTCTGTTTATAATCACAGTAGATTCCTACAAACATTTGAATTGAAAGACTTGAACCTATTTTATGTTAAATGATGACAAGAGAAATTTACTGAAGTGGTAGAAACGGTAATGGAAGGGAGTGGGACAGATGTTGGAAATAGCAGGAAGTAGAGACACTTGGTATGTCTGGAGTGTTTTTGTGACACTAATGCAATTCAAATCCACTATCCAAAACTACTTACTGTCTGTTGTCCTTATTACTATTGTTTCACAAGTGGACATTCATCCGCTCACCAACATTGTTTTTTCTTTTTTTGTCAGCTGTGTATTTTCATGCCACATTAATGGAAGGACAGTAGATGCCTCATGGGACTACTAATGGCAGCCATTTCTGTCCTGTTAGGGCCATTGATTTAAAACTTTCTATCACTTATATTGCCAGATGATAAGTATTTGATGTTAGGCTGACCAAAGCAGAATTTGAAAGGGAAAATAATGGTGCAGTGGGAGAGATGGCTTCATGGCTTCTGTATCATGCTTCTAAGGCCTTCATGCACTTTGGCTTGGTCCATGTGAGCAGTTCTAATAAATGGATAGATGTATTTTAATAGAGGCCATTTTTTAAACAATCCTGCTTAAAATTTAACTGTAGTGAAAGATTCATTATTTTCCACTCTGCAGCAAAGATATATCCAGAAGAAATCACTCCACTCCTGCCAGCCATATCAGGGGAAAAAATAGCTGAGGACCAAACATGCTTTTTTCTTCAAATACTATTGAAATATATGGTTATTCAGGTAAGAGCAAATTGTAGATAATTAAGTAATGGTCTTATTCTTAGTAGGAAAGAGAAAACATTATCTCTTTTCTTTCTGTTTGCCCATATTTCGCATTTTTGCTTTTTTTTTGAGGTGATTTTATGTGCTATTTCACTAAACATAGAGTCTGGCCAGGTTACTTCAGCAAATTCCAGGCATACACACTATTTTATGTAAGTGTACATTTAAAGGGAAAAATTCAGTTCTCCATCTATATATCTCCTTTACTTTAATATTATTACCACATTTGTATAGAACACTTCACATATGACACTTTGGTCATCAAATGTATGGGGTTTTTACCTCACACAAGCAATTCTCTGTGACACCAGCTGGGTGTCCTACAATTTAACTCAATTCTGACACTGTCTGCCTGGAGATAGCATCAGAGTCCACATGTTAAGGTCTCAGTCCTGTAAGACTGTTTACATCCTATTCAGACACCAATCACAAATATTAGGCCCCCAGATTACCCATAACTTCTGTCCAATTTAGCTACAAATCAGAGCTTCTTAAGACCCACTCTTTAGATTTGATTAATTTATTAGATGAGCTCACAGAACTCAGGGTAACATTTACTCATGTTTACCAGTTTAAAGAATGTGATAAAGGCTACAGATGAACGGCCAGGTGAAGGGATACATAGGGCAAGGTTTGGGAAAGGCTGAGTGCAAGGGCTTCTGTCCCTATGGAGTTGGGATGTGTCACTGTCTGATACATGAAATATTCACCCACCTGGAAGCTCCCTGAAACCCCTACTGTTTGGATTTTATGGAGGTTTATTTTCCCTATAGGCATGATCTATCATTAACCCAATTCCAGTCCCTCTCTTATTTCTGAAGAAATGGTGTGGTGAGGGGCTACAAATTCCAAGTTCTAATCATACCTTGGTCTTTCTGATGACCAGCCCCCATCCAGGAGCCATCCAGGAGCCCACCCAGAGTCACCTCAAAAGAACAGAAGATGCTCCCAGTGCTCCTCACTTAGGAAGTTACAAGGGTTTTAGGGCTCTTTACCAGGAACTGGGGGCAGAGGCTTATATATATACATTTTTTCCCATTATTTCATAGTCTAGTAAACTATTTTACCTCTTTACTCTTTCCCTACCCCTGATCTCTATGCTAGTAAGACAGGATGGAGGAAGAGGCAGGCCCAGAAACTGAATGAGTATAATACATCAGGAATGGGCAGAGCAGACAGGAAGATTTGAATGAAAGCATATTTAATTATCTCATCGTGCCATCAGCACAAGCCTGCTTTATGTCACATATTTCTTTCTCTTATATTTACTAACTGAATACAGAACTAAAATAATTAATTTATGATTTCAATAGGTGATTTGTCTCTTGTTCTGTATTTCTGAGCATTGATATGGTTTGAAAAAAGCTACTGAGTGCTTTTCTCTTAGCGAACGCTTCTCTCATCTCTTGAGTTCCTCATGGATATAGTCCAATTTCTGTCCATTTCACAACTAAGTTTGTTGACATAATAATCTCTGCCAAGTCCACTTCCTCCTCTAATGTTCCTTGACACCCCGTGTTACCTGCCTCTGCCCTGTCACTGCTAAGAAGTCCAAGAACATGATGAATTCTTATGGTCAAGTCCAGAGGGAGGACACTCTTAAGTTTGTGCCGTACTCAATTTTTCAGATGATTTGACAGTCTGTCCCTCCTTTATCAGATTCCTCCCATGGTATTTTCTTCTGGCTTTTCTTCTCCCTTTTACTTTTTTCCAGTTTTCATTGGAGGGCTGTGTTTCCCTCTGCTGTCCCTCAGTATTCAGTTTTTGGCTGCTTTTTCTGAATACTCTGTCCTCCTGGGTTATCTTGTCTGCTCTCCTCACCTGTTTCCTTTAGCCAGCACCAGAAACACACGGCTCCAAAATCCTGAGAGCCTAACTGGGGTATTCTATCATCTTCTGGAAGCTCTACATTTTAGTTCTGCTGGTCCATTCTACATACATCTTGAACTCTATCTGTTCAGAAGTGGCAGATCAGCATAGAGTATCTCAAACTTTGATGTGTTCGGATACTTTGGTTTTCATTCTAGATGTATCATTAATGAGCTGTGTTACCTCAGATAAGTCATGAATTCCCCGGGATCCCATTAGAACAAGTGTGCCATCAATATGGGGGAGGTTTTTAGGTGGACTGTGAGTCTCTAAATTGTGTGCAGAATTGTATGGGTTGTCCTCCTCTCATTCCCTCTTTTCTATCTACTAGGGTGAGTCCTCAGAATGGAATTTCTGCCTTGGCTCATCCCAGAGAACTGGCAGGTTACAGACTCTGACGTCCTCTGCCCTGGGGCAGCCAAAACCCCTTATTTCTTTACATCAGGTGCTGGGCTATTGCCATTTTATAAGTGGGCTGCATCATGAAGGAATTTGGGAAACTGCTCTAGGGCACTCTGTGTTATAACAAGTACTAAGACTTTTCTGACAGGTATATCTGGGGTAGTAGGCCTGGCTTATCCTATCCTGGGGATTGCTTTTGATAAGGAGACTGCATTTGTGAAAAATACATAGCTGTACCTTTTGATACTGATTTTGCATGTAGGTACATTGGATGAAATATTGGCAAGGGCTTTTCTCCATAATTGTGTTTATTATAAATGGCCTTTTCTGAGTTTTTTAGATTTAATGCAATCCCTATTAAAATACCTTGTCAAAAATTTATATGGAACCAAAAATGATTCCATATATCCTCAGCAGTCTTGAGAAAGAATAACAAAGTAGGAGGGATCACAATACCTGATATCAAACTGTACAATAAAGCCACTGTAATCAAAATAGTCTGGTACTGGCATAAGAACAGACACTTAGATCAATGGAACAGAATAGAGAGCACAGAAATAAACCGATGTCTCTATGGTCAATTAATATTTGACAAAGGGGACAGAAACATAAAATAGAGTAAAAATAGCCTCTTCAACAAATGGTACTGGGAGATCTGGAATGGTACATGGAAAAAAATGAAAGTAGACCACCAGCTTATACCATACATCACAGTAAACTCAAAATGGATAAAAGACCTAAACATAGCCGTGACACCATAAAAGCCCTAGAGGAAAGCGGAGGCAGTACAATTTCAGATATCCCATGCAGCAGTATTTTTGCTGCTACATCCTGTAGGGCAAGGGAAATAAAGGAAAGAAAAAACAAATGGAACTACATCAAATAAAAGAGCTTCTGCACAGCTAAAGAAGATATCGTCAAAATGAAAAGGGAACCAACCATATGGGAAAACATATTTGCCAACAATACTTCGGACAAGGATTTGATCTCTAAAATGTATAAAGAACTGATATGACGTAACACCAGGAGATAAACAATCCAATTTAAAAATGGTCAAAGGGAGACTTTTTGGCCAAGATAGAGGTATAGGTAGATACACTTTGCCTCCTTGCACCACCAAAAGGACAAAAAGAAATTTAAAAACAAAAAATGACCAGAACTGCCAGAAAATCAAACTGTATGGAAGTCCCACACCCAAGGAATTAAAGAAGAAACATTCATCCAGACTGGTAGGAGGGCAGGAGACAGGCAGCTGGGGCAGAGAGGACACGCAGCAAGGCAGACACGGAGGCTGGCAGACTGGGCAGTCCCATATTTGTGTGTGGATAAACCGTGAGGAACAGCTGAGGAGTGAGACAGACTACACAATCCAGGATTCCAGTGTGGGAAAAGAAAGCCTCAGAACCTCTGGTAAAAATCTGGGGGGGTTGAGGCAGAGGAGAAACTCCCAGCCTCACAGAAGAGTTCATTGGAGAGACCCACGGGGTTCTAGAACATACACAAACCCACCCACCCTGGAATCAGCACTAGAAGGGCCCAATTTGCTTGTGCGTAGGAGGGGAAGTGACTGAAAACCAGCAGAGAACCAAGCAAGCGGCATTGTTCCCTCTTAGACCCCTCTCCCACAGACAGGATCACAACTCAGTGACCTGGGTTGCCCGACCCTGGTGAATACCCAAGGCTCCAACCTTTCCAATGTAACAGGCACGCTGAGTCAAAGAAATATGGCCCAAATGAAACAACAGATCTAAACTCCAAAAAAAGAAGTAAGTGATGAACAGACAGCCAACCTATCAGATGCGCAGTTCAAAACACTGGTAATCTGGGTGCTCACTGAATTGATTGAGCATGGTCGCAAAATGGAGGACAAAGTGAAGGCTCCGCAAAGTGAAATAAAGAAAAATATACGGGGCACCAACAGTAAAGGGAAGGAAATTGGACTGAAATCAATGATTGGGAGCAGAAAAAAGAGATAAACATTCAACTAGAACAGAATGAATAAACAAGAATTCAGAAAAATGACTAGAGGCTTAGGAACCTCTTGGACTGTTGCACAGTGGCTAGATGGGGCGGACCACTGCAGGGAGCACCACTTGGGTCACAGCTCATCCCACAGCTCATCCCAGGCCTGGGCATCAACTGCCGCGGGAGTACTGAGTGTGTCGCAAGGAGTGTGGTGCTCCCAGATCTGAGGATTACCATCTGGGGCCAGCTGATATGGGAGCAGGGCTCTGAATCCCGCAGAGCCCGTCCCGGGGTTGTTATGGATGGGGGAATAAACACGTGTTGTTGCAAACACTTCTCTGTTTGCTGGAAGAGGGGACAGGGGCACTTCCCTTTAGTGGGGAGGCCCCGAGTCCCTTTGTTCAAAGGCTTTTGTTGAAAAGGTTATCAGTGAGGCTAGGTAACAGGAATGCACAGATTATCTCATTACATCCGTATCTTAATGTTCACAGAGAATAGGTGATGTTTTAAAGAAAACAGATGGCAGGAACACACCGATTTACATGGGTCTGAGAGGAGACTAGTGAACAAGAGAGACGGCTAAACATGAAAGCGTAGTAAACATAAGAGTGCCTAAGGGTATAAGGTTAGGGTTTGTGAATAATGTAAATTTCCTTCCCAGCATGAGCTGGCTGGAGCTTCTGAGGGAAGAACAGCACACTTTAAAGAATTTACTTTTAGGCCTGATTTCCCTGGGAACCGCCAGATCTGGTTTAGGACTGTCTCCAGTATTGTTTCGAGCCTGAGCCAGGCGGAGGGCGGGGGGGGGTGATGTGGGGGGGAGCCGCCAAGAGACAAGGAGACTTCTTTCAGATAGAATGAGGACTCTGGCCATGTCCAAGCCGAGCCGAGGGGTGTGGGCCTTTTTGCCCTTCTCTATGTCCCCCAATTTCTTGTCTGCTGCCAGTATTCGATCAGCATCTGTCTTTAGGTTGTATACCTCAGCTCGAGATAACTTACCCATCATGGATCACTGATCATCCATGCAAAGCAGAGGCAGGAGCTATGCCCCTGCCGGGGGAACAGGTTATGTCTCCTCAGGAGCCTGTTTCTCCAAGGTCTCCTGGATTATTTCCAGCTTTGGGGCCCTCCAGACTGTCAGCGGAGTTACAGTTTCTGAAACCAGAAAGGGCATTTCCCAACATGGGACAATTTTAAACATTCCAACATCTGAATCATATGGGTGCCGGAAAGAGAAGGGGAAGAGCAAGAAAATGAAAACTTACTTGAAAAAATAATGAAGGCCTTCCCCAGTCTGGCCAAGGAAATAGACTTCCAGGAGATCCAGGAGGCTGAGAGAGTCCCAGAGAAGTTGGACCCAAGGAAGCCCACACCAAGGCACATCAAAATTACATTACCCAAGATTAAAGGTAAGGAGAGAATCTTAAAAGCAGCAAGAGAAAAGGAGACAGTTACCTATAAAGGAGTTCCTGTAAGACCATCAACTGATTTCTCAAAAGAAACCTTGAAGGGAAGGAGGGGCTGGAAAGAAGTATTCAAAGTCATGAAAGACAAGGACCTACATCCAAGATTACTTTGTCCAGCAAAGCTCTCATTCAGAATGGAAAGGCAGATAAAGTGCTTCCCAGATAAGGTCAAGTTAAAGGAGTTCATCATCGCCAAGCCCTTATTATATGAAATGTTAAAGGAACTTACCTAAGAAAAAGAAGATCAAAAACTATGAGCAGTAAAATGACAGCAAACTTAAAATTATCAACAACTGAACCTAAAAAACAAAACAAACTAAGCAAACAACTAGAACAGGAACAGACTCATAGAAATGGAGATCAGAGGGGAAGGGGAGGGGGAAGAATGGGGGAAAGGTACAGGGAATAAGCAACATAAATATTAGGAATAAAATAGGCAGGGGGAGGTTAAGAAGAGTATAGGAAATGGAGAAGCCAAAGAACTTATATGCATGACCCATGGACATGAACTGGGGGCAGCGGGAGGGGGTTGTACAGGATGGAGGGGAATAAAGGGGAGGAAAAAAAAAAGGGACAACTGTAATAGCATAATCAGAGGACCCAGAGACATGTGAAAGGATGCTCATCATCACTAGTCATCAGAGAAATGCAAATTAAAACCACAGTGGGATACCACTTCATACCAATCATAATGACCATCATTAACAAATCCACAAACAACAAGTGCTGACGAGGTTGTGGAGAAAATGGAACCCTAGTACACTGTTGATAGATATGCAGACTGGTGCAGCCACTATGGAATTTCCTCAAAAAGCTAACAATGGAACTGCCTTTTGACCCAGCAATTCCACTGCTGGGATTATACCCTAAGAATCCTGAAACACCAATTCAAAAGAACCTATGCACCCACTATGTTCCTAGCAGTGTTATTTACAATAGCCAAGTGCTAGAAACAGCCTACGTGCCCATCAGTAAATGAGTGGATCAAAAAACTGGTACATTTACACAATGGAATACTACACAGCAGAAAGAAAGAGCAACTACCCTTCACGATAGCATGGATGGAACTGGAGAGCATTATGCTAAGTGTAACAAGCCAGGCAAATACCATATGATCTCACCCATAAGTGGAACCTAGGCAGCAAAGCAAGTGGACAAGGAAAATATGACCAGCAACATTGGAAGAAAAAACCTACAGGGATGGGAGGGAGAGAGGGATGGGGGTATCAGGGAGGGGAAGGGGTGGGGTCAGATCAAGGAACAGGCGTGAAGGACACATGGATGAAGCCATGGTGGGGAAGGATTAAGGCGGGGAGGTGGGGGTGGGTGGGGGCAAGGGAAAGTGGTGGCGGGTAAGTAGAGACAAATGTATTTGAAATATTTTTTAAAAAATAAAAAAATTTAAAATAATAATAAAAAATAAATAAAAAACTGGTACATTTACACAATGGAACCCTACTAAGCAGAAAGAAAAAAGGAACTCTTACTTTTTTCGGCAGCATGGATGGAACTGGAGAGCATTATGATAAGTGAAATTAGCCAGGTGGTGAAATACAAATAACATATGATCTTACCTATAGGTGGAACCTAATTAACAAAACAAACAAATGAGCAGAATAGAACTAGAGGCATAGAAACAGGAACAGATGAACAGGGAGGAGTGAGGGGGATAAAGGAGGAAAGAAGGGGAATGGTCTAGTTAAAAAACAAGTATAAATGACCCATGGACATGGACAACAGGGTGGGGATTGACTGTGGGAGTGGGGGGGGGTCATTGGCGGGGCAAGGGAGACAAATGGGAATTTTGGGAGAACTGTAATAGAACAACAATTAAAAAAGTTAAAAATAAATTGAAAATAAAAAGTACCTTGTGCCCTGACTGGCATGGCTCAATGGGTTAGGCATCATCATGCCAACCAAAAGATCACCAGTTCAATTACTGGTCAGGGTACATGCCTGGGTTGCAGGCCAGGTCCCTGGTTGGGGGTGTAGGAGAGGCAACCAGTTCTCTCACAAATCAATGTTTCTCTCCCTCTCTTTCTCCCTCTCTTCCCCTCTCTCTGAAAAATGTATAAATAAAATGTTTTTTTTAAAAAGTGTACCTTATTATATCGAACTAAATGTATTAAGGGCATAAGGAGTGTTAAATCATTACAAGGAACATGTGGAAAAATAGGGGCATAATGTAGAAGAGCAAGTTTAAAAGAAATCACATCACTGGGATTTTTTTTAATACTCAGTAAAAATGCTGTTTTTAACATAGTCACTGTTTTAAAATATTCATTTTTGTCACCATTTGAGTTTTAAGATATTTTTTATTATAGGATTATCAATATTATTTGTCAGGTTTTTAAATTACAATAGGAATTTTAATAATAACATTTTCAGTTTAGTATACATTAATTTGAAATATAAATAATGTATTTTTTTTCCACATATTACCCAAAGGCTGCAAGCTTGGAGTGGAAGAATAAGGAGAATCAAGATACTGGTTTTAAATTTCTTTTCACATTGTTTCGAAAGTATTATCTTCCTCATTTATTCCCGTCATTTACTAAGTTAACAAACATCTACAAACCTGTACTTGGTAAGTACTGGTTGAGTCATTTACAGAGGATTTCCTTGGGGAAGCTGTACAGTCTCTTTCAAAGTGACCTTTGATTATTTTCAAGTAAAATAGTAATTTTATTCTTATACTTAATGCTAACTCTATTGTAAGACATTTAAAATTTCCTAATAAATAACTTTAACTGTTTTAAGTGTTTGTACAAACTAAAATATATTTCAGCTTACAACAATAAAGGGGAGCTGTGGCCCCTGTGTTCAGAAATAATTTGAAATTAATTGTGATTTTTATGGTGTAATTACAATTAAAATCTTTTAATGTTAAAAAAAGCTTACATTTCCTTAAGTATTCTCTCAGTGGTGATGGCGTGTGGTGACCCCAGACCTTACTCAGTGGATAGACAGGCAACCCCAGACCGCACAACTGCCCATAGTATGCCATTTCTTTTTCACTGGATCTTTCATCCAGCAGGGACTACTTGCAGCTGCTTATGGAGGGGCAGATGTTTGGACAATTAGGAATCCTGGGGACTGTAAGCCCAGAGGGGAAGAAAACATAAGGGAATTTCTCATTTAGATTCTAAAGTTTTTCTTCTTTAAAAAATGAGGATTCACAGGCCAGAAGCATCCCTTAGAGTGATGAAGGTAAGGCAAATCTTTCTTTGCCTGTTATTTTAAAGCAGATGAAATTAGTTAAAATGAATAATTAAGAACACTTTTCGAGGGGAAAAAATCACCACTGACGTTAATCCATCTGGGAAATGTGGACAACTAATTCAGTTGTCTATGGGTATTTACTTGTACAAACACACGTACACACACTTAGGCAAGGGAAGAACAGATGAAGCTTGGTACATTTTGAAAGCTGTACTAACAACTGTAAGGGTACTGGGATGTTATATATTTTGGTAGCAATGTATGTGGGTGTTTTTTTCACATTTTGTTTCTGATTTTGTTAGTAGTCTATATCTACTGTAGAAAACATGTTTTCTGAGATTAAAAGTTATTTGTTTTTATGCCTTATGCAGTTACCTCATCATGTACAAAAATTAATAAGAGAAGTGGACTATAGCAGGTAGTTATCTCAAATCCAGTGTCACATTATTTTCTTATTGATTATGGAATTTAAAGACCTCTTATAAATTCTTTGGAAATGGTGCTGTTTGATACCTCAAAAATGAAACATGACTTTCTGAATTCTGTCAGCTATGAAATAGGTTATACTGATTCTGTTTCCCTGGATTCATCAAAAGTGAAAAGGATATAAAACTAAAGTTCGGTTGCTTTTTATTATGTTTGATGTTAAAATAACTAAAATGATGAAGAAATGTCTATGCATGGTTTTATATGTGTTCTAATCATAAAATAAGGTTTAATTAGTTATAATGTATGTGAAAAGATTTTCACTCGTATAATCTCATGTAATTTCTCAAATTTGTGTACATGGGTTATCAGATTAGTTTTCCCATAGTTGTATACCACAGCTGTAAGTAATAACAGCCATCCAAACTCCATTAGATCAGATTGCTAGGCAGAATTAGAAACAAACCTTCGAAAAGATGACATTTTAAATCATTTCAGGTTCTTTAATCTTAGTTGTTATTCATACAACCAATTATATGTCTACTTACTTAGAAACTGAAACATTTGTAGGGGTTACATAATGTCAAGATTCACCAAATAATCATGTGTTCTTTTTTTTTCCAGATATCCCCCATTTAAGACCAAAGCCAGTGTATATTGCTACAGCTCGAGACAATGAAAACATTTACAGTACAAAAATTCCATACATGGCAGCACGTGTTGTTTTTATTAAGTGGATTGTAACTTTCTTTTTGGAAAAAAAATATCTAACTACAGCACAAAATGCTAAAAATGGAGTTGATGTATTGCCTAAAATCATGCAGGTATGTCATTCATCATCTCTTTTTCTCTTCATGTGTTTGTAATATCACACATTGACACATACAAAGTATTTGATTATTAGAGTTATTGGTTCTTAGATGTTGTTGGTTATGAGACCCCAATTTCTTCGATGCACTCTAAGATGTCAAGGTTTCAGAAGAAGCTGTGAGTTATAAGCCCTTGTATTCTATCGGCATTGCCATCATGAGGCAATCTTGATGGTGAGGCATTCTGAGAAGATGGTTGTTGTGTGCACGCCGCTGGCTCCCTCTCATTTTTCCCTCTTTACTCTGGTACCAGTGACTTCTGAGCAATAGACCAGATCCTGTCTTGTTTTTTCTTTGTCCCCAGTATCTGGAAGGCCCTTAGGAATTGTGCAGATGGACTGTGGAGAAGATCTGTGATCTGCTAGGTGCTCTCTGGGAACTCAGGGGAAGAATAGATCAGCACCGTAGGATTTCGGCGTGATTTTTGAGCCATGTTGGGGTCCCTGGAAGAGAAGGCTGCCTCTCTTCGAGGTGTTAGTTGAAGACATCTTGTATGGGTCCTTCTGATTCTTGCTGGCCTTGGTCACATGCAAATGAAGACATCTTGTATGGGTCCTTCTGATTCTTGCTTGCTTGGTCACATGCAAATGAGGCTTGACCCGAAGACTGAGTTGCTTAGGGACTTAATGCTGGGTAGAGCAGGATCACTTGTGGAAGTCAGAGAGCAGCCACTTCACAAAAGAGTTATGGTTTTGTGAGGGGTTTTTTGTTGTTGTTCTTTCTAAGAACAAGGACAGGAAGTGTGGTGCATATAGTGCAGGTTTGACCAGCAGTATGACTTAGGCCTGACTTGGGAAAGTGTACACGCCTGAGGGGTAATTGGCACCTTGATGAAGGAACACCAGACTGAGGTCCAGAGCATGTAGCCCTATTGGACTGACTGAAGAACTGGAGAAACTCATTTTCAAAGAAGCCTGAGGGACACACAATATCAGTATGAACAATAAAAGACTTGCTGAATGTTTTAGAAAACCTTAAACTTTTTAATATAAAAACTTGGTAGGTAAAACCAAAGATGGTAATGATTACTGCTGAGAACAAAATTAGTTTTCTGAAGAAATATCCTATAACACTGTGCAAAATATTCAAAGAGACAGAAATTAGAAATAAATAAGGCTTAAGGGCAGATTCATACCTAACATGTAAATATTGTGAGGGCAGAAGAGAAAAGAATGAGAAGTAATAACTAGTATAAAGAAAAGTTTACTTGAGCTGAAAAGAAGTCATGCTTTAGACTAAGGGGTTTTCAAGTCCCAGGAAGAATTAGCTAAAAAGACACAAATCTAAATAGGCTTTTTTGAATTTTGGGGATTAAGAAAAAGCTATACAGCTTCTAGACAGAAACTAGAGGTTCCTTCAAAGGAATGAGACTGACATTAGCATTGAATGGGCAATGTAACCTAAAACTCTGAAGCTGAAAGAACTTGGCTTTGTCTGTTTCAGAATCTTCCTTGCTTCATATCACATGCATAAGCAAATATCAGATTGATTTATAAAAACAAAATGGTAAAAAATCTGGGGGAAAATCTAGGAGAATGTATAAATTTGGCAAGTGGTAGACCATCTTAGGTAGAGATAAGGCTCACAAGCCATGGAAGAAATGAGATTCAGCTTTATTTGAAAAAATGGAGAAAGATTTATGAGTCAAAAAGATAGCATAAAGAAGACAAACAGCCCAATTGAAAAATGGATAAAGGAGATAAAGGGAAATTCACTGAAGAGAAAATAAAACTGGGCCTGGATTTCACCAGCAGTCACGGAAACGTAGTTTGTTCTGAGCCATGATGAGAGACTTTTATTTACCAATCAGCTAGACAGAAATTTATATTAAATTACATAAAAGAAACTGTCACACTGATAAATTTTACATTGCATCTGTGTGGTTTTTCAGTCAATTCAAAACAGTCCACTTAAAGGATGTAAATTTTTCCTACCTGGTTTCTAAATTTTGAAAAACCATCACCTGTATCTTTTGAAAATAAGTTTCTCACTTGGATGATGAGAAGTAGCAAGAACAGCAAATTAACCACTGCTTCAAGGTTATAACTTTTACCCTTAGTTGACTCTTCACACTTGTGAGTCATTACCTTTATTATGTTTTTTAGTGTCATGAGGGTCTGAGCTCCTCAATAAATTAGGATAATTCTATCATTCTAACAGAAGAAGGACACCAGAACTCAAACTGAATTAAAATGTAAAAAGAATTTTTTTAATATAATTTTTAATTTTATTTATTTAAGATTTTATTTATTTGTTTTTTTAGAGAGAAGAGAGGGAGAGAAACATCAGTGTGTGGTTGCATCTCGTGCACCCCCTGCTGGGGACCTGGCTTGCAACCTAGGCATGTGCCCTGACTGGGAATCGAATCAGCAAACCTTTGCTTCACAGGCCAGTGCTCAGTCCTCAGTCCACTGAGCCATACCAGCTAGGGCTAAAACATGAAAAGAAATAGTTTAATCTCACAAAAAAGAAGTGTATGATGAGTTTGGCTGACAGTATGGTTCATTCATGCTCTCCCCTTTTCCCTCTAGCAAATGTGTCTTCAGCTTCTCTGATAATTACAAGATGGGGCACTGTGCTCCTTGTTCATGTTCAGAGACAACTGAAAATACAAAACCCTTTCCTTTTGTCTGAGTTGTACAACTTAGGTTACCTGCCCACTCCCAGAACCATAACGAGGCACTGATTAGCTTAAAGCTGGGTGTGTGAATGCCACAGGAGAGAAGGACATGATTGCTTCCATGACAAAACAGAACAATCACTTGGTACTGTGGATAGGGTCAGCTTCCTGTGAGTCATGTGGGCTTCATGAGAAGAGGCATGCCAAGCACTGGGGTTCTGTCAGGGAGTGAAAATGGATGCTGGGCAGAGAACCGTTGTGCTCAGTGCTACCATACCCTTCAGATGACTGCACATAGAAATGGCCACTCACTGTAGAGACTATTAATATACCTCACAGTAAGCTGTTACATTAGTTGCTTATTGCCTCTGTAGCAAATTACCACAAATTTATTGAAACTTATTGAAAAAGCACAAATTTATTATCTTTCTGTTCTGGAAGTCAGAAGTCCAACTTTTTAGGCTGGTAAAATTTCACAGCCTTCCTCCCTGTAATAATTTAGTAGTTTTCCTATTAAAATAACTGAGTTGGGGAGAGGTCAGCCGGTGAATTGGAAAGTTGGTGAGTACAAATCCTGGAATCCCTTGTGCTTCTTGCAGTGCTGGTTTCTAGCTTATTGTCAAATTTATGGTAACCAGAGCAAGTCTTTAAAATAAAGCAAGTCTTCAGTTTTGCCAGGTGTTCTTGAGTGCCAAAGAGGGTGACTCAGAAGTGGTAATGACTTTCTTCCAGACTGTTGGTGGTGGTGCAGTGCAAGAGAGGGCACCAGAGCTGGAGGGTGGCGGGCCTGCAGAGCCGGACAAAAACCATTCTAACAGCAGCACCTTGTCAGACCGGAGACTCAGCAACTCTAGCCTTTGTAGCATTGAAGAAGAGCACCGAACCGTGTATGAAATGGTGCAGCGGATCCTCTTATCAACTCGAGGTTATATCAATTTTGTGAATGAAGTATTTCGCCAGGTTAGTGTGTATGTGTGTGTGTGTGTTTATGAAATTGAAGAGATTTTTGTTCTTCTCCTTTTACTCATAGTACTCCAAGAAATAGTGTTGTTGAGTTGGGTTAAATTATAGGACTGAATGATCCCTCTGACCTACTTTTGTCACATGAAGTATTGTGATTTTGTTTCATTTGTGAATTTTTTTATATTGTATTTTTGAAGAATTACTACATGTGGAGGGAAAATTTTATATTTGAGCAAAATCATTCCAAAATACGTCAGGTTTCCGTATACTTCAAAGCCAGGGGTAGGTGGGAGGAAAGCCATTCCTGCATACACAGGAACAAATGAACAAGGAAAGAACCCAGGTCTGGTATTGTTCCAAGGGCCTAAAATGCTCTCTAAGGAGCTCAAGATTTCTGCAAACAGTTGTATTTGCCCTGCAGAAGCCTATGGCATGCACATATGATACACATATTTCTGGCATAAATGAAAAAAGGTGGGTGAGGAGGGCAACAGGGTGCAAGCAAGAAAGAAGACAGAAGTGATAAGAGGCCAGGAGAAGGATTGATGAGCAGCTATGAGCAACAACCAAGGCTAATTCTGCCCCCGAGGGGACATTTGACAATGTCTGGAGACATTTTTGTTTGTCACAGCTGGGGAGGGGGACAGTGCTACTGGCAGCTAGTGGGGGTAATAGCCAGGAATGTTGTTCTACAAGCACAGGAGAGATACCCTACCCCCACCCCAGCAAAGAATAGTCTGACCCAAAATGTCACAGTGCTGTTGTGGAGAAACTGAGCTATAGCCATCTGACAGAGGAAGCAAACAATATAGTTAAGAAGGCAGCTGCTCTGTAGTGTGGGATGGAGCCCCTGGCCACCAGTATCTTGGTACTAGTGCCCTGGAAACAGAGAGCATGGCTCTTTTGTGCACCTGTGTGTATGATGGGGGGAATAGTTGTTTTATCCATGTACCAGAGCGGAGATTGAGGCCCCTGAATGGTAAGAAGCAGCAAATCCTGTACATACATGAGTGATACATATGCACCATGAAGAGACAAGATTTCCAGTTAGTAAATGATCGACCCTTTTACTTCTGAGACTTCCATTAAAGAAAAATCAACCAAAAATGAAAGTCCCAACATAACCTGCAACAATCTAGAGGTTTACTATATTTTTATATTTTAATGAATAATAAAATTTTACTTAAGAAAATGTTTGTTTTATCTGTAATTAAAATTCCCCTTATAATAAATATATTTTTTCTTATTCTGTGGCCCACACTACCTTAGTTCTTCTCGCTTCCTGACTGTGTTTTCTCTCTCTCATTTGTTTTTGTCCCTCTTTTTGGTTTACCCCAAATTATAAGAGTTGATAGAAATTTTGAGCTTGAGCCCTTTCTCCTATAACTCTACTCTTGCCTCGTTGAGGCCTTCAACTGCTTGTCCAGTGCCAGCAACTTCTATTGCATGTGATTTCCAGGCAAGTCTTTTGTTTAGACCTTGTTTTTTAATTCCATATTCCCTTTAAAATGTCCACTTATGATCTCATCTCATGAGCACATTCCTGTGATCTCATGAGCACATTCCTATGCTATCTTCAAGAACACAAGGCAAAAAGTTATCTCATTTTCTTCCCTAATATCAACTTCTCCTTACTAGACTGCTTCTATAAAGGGACCATATTCTTGGGTTCATATTCATTTTAGCCCTCCTGGGCTCCTTACCCTCTCCTCCTATGAGCTATCACTGACTGACGAAGTTATGCAGGAAGCTTTCTCATTCCCTTTCTCTCCTTTCCTTTTGACCATGGTTACCAGTAAGCTTCTTGGAGTCCCACACCTTCTGTGTCATCCTTTTCTAGTCTGTACTATATACATCATGCTGCCAAAACATTCTATCATAATAGTCCATTATTTAAAAATCTACTACCTTCCCTATTAATGTTGCCAGAGCAATGCATCAGTTGTGCACATGGACAGCAACGATTTAATTTGAATTGAAATAGTCAAGATCCTAGAGGGAAGATGATCAAACTGTACAGATTGCTAAACAGATTTGAATATTAAGAAAATGGAACTTTTCCACATTAAAAATGGTAACAATTGAAATATTATAGGAAAAACTCAATGGTAAATTTAATAGCAGATGAGATACAGCTGAATAGAGAATAAACTGGATGATGTATCTGAAGAAGTTATCCTGAATGTACCTCAAAGAGAGATGAAAAATGTGAGAGGTTGAGACATGGAGACTATAGTGAGAAAATACGAAGTATGTGTTCAACTCTCCTCTATCCTTATTATTTCTTGTCTGCTGTTCTACCAGTTACTGAGAAGATCCTAGTCTGACTGAATTTGTCTGTTATTTCCTCAGTCTATCAGTATTTACTGTATATATTTGAGGCATAATTAATAGTTGCAGTACAGATTTAGAAATGTTATGTTAGTTTGAATTGAATCTTTTATCATTAAGAAATTTCTCTTTTTACCTCTAGTAATGCTTTTGTTTCCTCCTCAAAGTTGATCTTGCCTGATCTTAATATAACTCCTGTGGTTTTCTTTAAGTTAGTATTTGCATGGCATATCTTTTTCTATCTCTTTACTTTCAACCTACACACATCCATATGTTTTGATGTCCTGTTATAAATGGCATGTAGTGTTTTTAATACTCTTTAAAATCCAACCTTATAATTTCTGTCTTTTATTTTGAGTATTATTCCACTTTGGAACATTATTCACATCAGTTCCATTCAAATAACACCTGATATAATTATGTTTTAAGTTTATTGTCTTTCTACCTTCTAGTTGTCTTGAATTCTTTCAGGGTAATTGTTTTAGCATCCCATTTTTCTCCTTCAGATTAGTATTTTTGCACTCATTTGTAACTTTTAATGGTTGACAGCCCACATCTGTAACTTAAAAATCTAGCATTAATTTCAACTTTCACTCTTAGTAAGCACTTTCATTTACTCCTCAGGTTGTGCAGTTGTTATGTATTTGAATTCCATGTCATAGATAGATAGTGTAGTATATGTTATATACCTATAAATATATACATATATTATCTCTTTCAGAAGTATTATAATTACACAATTTATTTTTTATTTTATTCTTATATATTTATGTGTATTCTTTACTGGGATTTATCCAAATAATTACTTTTTTATTACATTTTATTCCTTTCCAAATCTCTGGCCCCGGATTATTTTCCTTCTGCCTAAAAATAAAATAACTTTTACTATTTTCCTTAGTTCAGATATCCTGGTAAAATTTTTATTTTTTTGTCTGAAAATGTGCTATATTGGCAGCTGCCTTCTTTCTGCATATTGACTAGTTTGTTTCATGTTTTTGGCTTGCATTGTTTCTTTGAGAAGTCATGCTAAGTCATTTGGTTCCTTATTTAGAAGAAATGTATCCTTTTTTCCTCTGGATGCTTTTAAGATTTTCTGATTGTCTTTGGTTTTCAGCAGTTTTACTGTAATATACTTTGCATATATCCTGCCTGTGTTATTTTGTGATTATTGAATCTGTAGATTTATATCTCTTAACAGTTTTGGCAAAAGTCTCAGCCATTTTTTCTTTAAATATTATTTCTGCCCCTTTTTACTAATCTTTCCTCTGCATCTCCAGCCATGTATAGGGTAGCCTTTACATTGTATTCTATCTTTTACCTTCTCTTCTGAGTTAGCCATCCTTTTGTCTCTCAAACTTCACTCTGGATGTTTTCTTCCAATATATTTTATCTAGTTTTCTCTTCAGCTGTGTTTATTCTGAGTTTTTAATTTGTTATTTTTTTCAACCCCATTTACATCTTTTTCTGATACTTTAAATTGTCTGTTGTTTATTTTGGTTTATTAATATTGACTTCTTTTCTAATATTTATTTTTATCAATATGCTACATGTCATTTTAACCAGACTGTTCATACAAATAATGTTGGTTTCATTATGATTTTGTTTTCATCCAGAGAGGATTTATATTTGCTTTCTGGAAGGAGGATAACATGATATGCCTTGCTGTTGGATTGGGGTTACATAGTTGTCTGCATTTGTCAAAACTCATCAAATGGTCCACCTAAGCTTTGTGCATTTTATTGTTTATAAATTTTACCTGAGTATGATAAATCAATTTTGAATTCTTGTCAGTGATATGCATGCTGAAATGTTTAGGGGTGCTAATTTCTGCAGCTTTTTTTGAAATGTATCAAATAAAATGAATTGAAAGGATAGATAAAAGGGTGTATATTGACAGATGTGTGATAAAGCAAATATAGCAAATGCTAATGGTGGAATCTAGGGAATGGATATATGGATAATCATAGTAAAAATCTTAGAAATTTTTATATGCTTGAGAATATTTGTAATAAAATTTTGGAACAAAATTAGAATGGGACATCAGTGTATTTTTTGTTAGACTCTGCTTTTGTTGATCTTTCTTGCAACATACGTCAGAATATTTGATACATTGATATGTTGTAATCTTGTTATAACAGAAACTTCTCTACTCTGGAATTTCATGAGACATGACCAGCAGCTATGCAGATTTATATACTACATAAACCCTTGTTGTATTGAACTCTGCCTCTAACTGGATCCTGAAGCATGAAGCTTTAGGATAGTATTAACACAATCTCTGAAACTTGAGATCGAGATCTGCATTAATTACTTAACTTCATAACCTTGGACAAATATTTCAGTAGTTTTGAGTCTCATCTTAATTTTTCATCTATGGAATTAAAGCATTCATTGGCATGTTGAGTACTTCTTTGTATTCACCCCTCATACAGAAGTATTTCTTAAAGCTGATACTAAAAAGGCAAATGTACTTTCCTTTTAGATTTTTCAGATTTATTACATTACATAAAAATTCTTATGTAGATATGTAAGGAGATTCCTTAATGTCAAGTGTACTAAATATGTATAATGCTATAACTGGCCAGTGCTCTCATTAAAGTTAGTATCTGTACACAGTCGTGTGCTGGTAAATATTGAACAACTTGCTCTCAAAAAAAGAGGGGAGGGAGGAAGAGAGGAAAGGAAGGAAGGAAGGAGGAAAGAAGGAAGGAAAGGGAAGGAAGAAAGGAAGGAAGGAAGGAAAGAAAGGAAGGAGAAAAAGAGAAAGACAAAGACAAAAAAGGAAAAGCAAATGGTAGGTTTGGCAGACTTCTGTGGTGTAAATACTTTCATCTTGGCTAATTCCAGCTACCAACATGGACATCACTGAACATGGAGTTGGAAGGAGATGTAATAGTTGGCTGCAACCGGCTGTACTAGTTTGTTATCTTAAATCTATATCTGATTCATTGGGAAAAGTTCCCAGTTATACAGTTATTATTGTTTATATCGCCAACTAGACTATATAGGTGTGCATTTTGGTTAGATTTGTGGAAAAATTATTCAGAATATAGAAGTTATGTTTGAATTGCATTATATTTTCTAGTGCAATTAGGGAAATGCCTTTTTCTTCAGATAAGTTTGGTGTCCACAAAAATATGTAGCCCTGTATAGTGTATTATGTGCCGTATGTTTTAAAGGAAAGTCTGAAATTAGTGATGATGATTGGAAATGTCTGTCATGTATCTCTGTAGTGATCTAAGCTTATGTGGAATTAAAGGGAGTTTTTCTCTTTTCGTTTCAGGCATTTTTGTTGCCTTCCTGTGATATAGCTGTAACAAGGAAAGTAGTTCAAGTATACAGAAAGTGGATCCTCCAGGACAAACCTCTGTTCATGGAGGAACCAGATAAAAAGGAAGTTGCCCAAGAAGATTATGAAAAATTAGGATTTTCTGAGACTGACAACAAGGAGGTAATATTTTATCACTTGTTTCAGTTGGGAATAGATAGATACAGATATAGATATAGACATAGACATAGACATAGACATAGACATAGACATAGACATAGACACACACACACATACACACACACAAACACATAAATATAAGTATATAATTTTTTTTTTAGCAAAGTATACCTGCTAAGTCATAGATCCCAGGTGGGTGGATCTTTTTTTATCATGTCCTATACTCTCAAGTTTCTGAGGGAGTCCTGAGGACCTGTCTCAATGAGGCTACGTTTGTGCCCTATTCAGGGTCATCCATTATCTAACTCTCAAGCTAGGTCCACATGTGCATTGCAGCTTCATTATTCACCATTGCACAAGAGTTATTTAATAAACTATCATATTTTACACATCTCTGTATGAGCCTAAAAATGTCACTGCCTTTTCGTTGACATGTTTAAATAAATAACACTTGAGAAAGTAAATTTAGAATGTTTTGGCAGCCTTTTCTTGCGTAGTGGCTGGTTCCAAAAGCCATCCAGATGTAATACACTTGAAAGGACTAGATCAATAATGAGTGTTATCTCTACCATAAGTAAGCCTCACTGCAGGTTGGGTGCTGTTGTTAGAGAGTGGATGCTCTCAGAATGGACCTCTTAGTCTGTGCTTGATAAAGCTACAGGCTGGCTTAATATAAACAGAGTGGGACCTCTTCCTGAAACACAAAAGAAACTTCAATCATATTTATATTTCTAGCATGCTATTTTGTAGTCTGAAAAATATTATTTCTAAAAGAAGGTATTTGTCATAGCAATTAACAAACATTTAAAAATATTTGTAACCAAAGGCATATTACTTTTAAATACCTGTATTAATAATTATATAATTTCTATTTTTCAATATTGGTGAAATCATTTTAATAACTAGCCAAGAGGTCAAAACAATAGAGAAGCAAATGGAATTAATCACACATTTTAAAGGTTTATATATTACATGCTCATTTAGTCATTGTTTATTTCTTCAACACATACTAACTGATAGGCTATAGTTTAGGTGCTAGAAGTAGAGTGGTGAACAAAATGGAAAAAAAAACTTCCCCTTCTAGAAGCTATTCTTGTGAATTCTGGTTAACATAAGGAATTAAATATTTGAGTACGTGTCTTTTTCTTCTCTATTAACTGATTATTATTTTCTAAAGCCTGCATTTGAAAGCTCCGGTCATAAGCGATCTTCGAGTTGGGGACGAACATACTCCTTCACGAATGCTGTGAGCAGAGGGTGTGTGACAGAAGAGGAAAATAAGAATGTGAAAGCCGGGGCCCAGGCTATGCTGCAGGTATGTGGCTGGCCAGCCAGAGACATAAAGGCCTCCATTTGGAGTCAGTTTGAATGAACACTTGTATACTGAGATAGTGTCCTATAAAGTATGGTACTATTTTTAGCCACGTGTCAGTAAACAGCTCTTACACTCATTCTGAGTTTTCTTTCTGATTTATTTCTTTCAATTTGTAAAGATTTTTTTTTCTAGTTCAAGGAGACATATGAAGTGGTTGTACATTTTTAAGAGTGATTATTATATAGTGAATGTGAAGTGCCTGAGATTTAAATCTTCAAGTATCTTTGTTACATATATGGGCAATTAGTTACCTGTACTTTAATTTTTGGTTGATTATATAATCTTATAAATAATATTCCTCTTAAAAATTGCCTTTATTTATGAAGGATGATGATTAATGCAATAATTTTTATATAGTTACCTGAATGAATTTATGAAATAGAAACGATACCATCTGGGAACATTGGAAAGAACAACATTGGCTCATCACTTAATTTCCCCAGTCGTCAGAACTTTATCTCAGAAATAGGGATTGGGAAATTACCTCTTGGTCCCAGCCAACTTGAATGTTGTTATGAGTATAAGTGAAAACACAGGCTGCCTATCCTTCCCATGCTTTCTGGCACTCCATCCTCCCTCCCATATCCACATTTATGGCTAAGTCCAGTTAGGCTTCCCACACAGAGCACAGACTTGGAGTCTGGGGATGGCATGGGCATGGATGGCATGCATGTTACTCAATTTTCAGTGACACTGTGTTTTATCATCTGTCTCTTGTTAGGATTTCTTATCATGGAATCCTTTTTGTTTTCAGGTTAATTAGCAGTTTAACACACTGTCACTAATGAATATTCTCATTTTTCTTTGAAAATTGAGAAATAATTTCAAATTAATTTTTAAAAAATCATGATGATTTTACTTTAGTAGCTTCAAAGAAATTTGGTAAAGCTCTTAAATATAACCCCTGTCCCCACCAAAGAATTGCATTTAAAAGCTCCTGTCCTGAGTCCTTTGGTAGCCCCCTCCTTCAGGTGAATGCTTGAATACCATCATCATCATCCATCCCAGTGTCGGCCAGGTTGCAGGTACCAGTTATCTCCTTGGGTTCAGAAGAGTGTTACTTGTTTTCTGAAAGCATAAGTTACATCTACTTGGCTGAACCAAGAAAAAATTTTCCAATTTATTTTAGCACTACAGATTTTTAAAAATTTAATTTGGATTTAAATAGCTGTTTTTATTCTCACTGTATCTAGTACCAGAGCCCTTTGCTTGGTTCATTAGGAAAGAGTGTCCAAATGGAGGTTTGATAAGGTAGTACTCTTCTATAGCTGCTTTTCACAAGTACGATGTGGACATACTAATTTTACTAATTTTGTTTATTTTTATCTTCACATTACTAACATGGTCATAAGAAATATTCATGTAATTGGCATTTTCATATTTTTTTAATAAGTAAAGTGAAAAGAAGTAAAATGTAAATGTAAAAAGTAAAATGTTAAAGTAAAAAGAAAAAAGTAAAATATTTATATGGAAAATAATACAGTAATTAATAGTTAGACAAAAATGAACTGTATTTCACATACTTATAACTGTAAACCTACTTTGCCTCACCCTATATATGAAAACCTCCTCAATTTTACTTGGAAACATGCAAAAGTTTCAAATTCACATGAAGAAGCCAAATAACAGTGAATGAAAAGAATCTGTATTACAACATGTCACCTATGGCAAACTTCCTTTAGAAACATAGTCACTAAAACTGCTTTAGTTTGTTAGTCGAAAGTTTCTTTGTTTTTTTTTTTTTCTTACTTGAAGGCTAGTGAATTCTTTACCATTACTATTATGTTATCAACTATTATGTTGCTTATTTAGTAATTTTTCCTAGAAAATTGGGGCATGATATCTTTTTAATGTTGTGTAAGATAATTTTCTAGACTGTCAACATTTTTGTTCATACACTTGACTTTTGAGTATGTTCATTTCTCTGCTCAGTTTTGCATGTTTTTATATGTTGCATTAATGGATTACGTACATGGGTGAGCCAAAGAAGTTCTCTTCATTCCCAAATCCTTCAAATTTATACAGTTGAACACAAAGGATACCTAAGATGTAATACAGCTCTAGATATGTGGAGCAGATCCATCCACATTACCAGATTGACAACTCAGAATCTCCTAAATTGAGGGTTTGCTAGTGTCGTATGTCTAAATGGTAACACATTGTCAATTTATTGTGCCCCTAAGCAGTAAACTTATCACATGAGAGCCTGGGTCACTGCTTCTCACAATTTTCTACTGAAACACCCCTGATGTTAGAGGACAGTGAACAAGTATCCTAAAGGTTTGTGGCAGAGCATAGATTGGTTGGGCAATTTTATAAATTTTTTTCAAAATCTGTTTTTAATCTTAAGAATTCACTGAGGTTTTATATTCTACTACCCAGTAGAGTTCTTGTATTAAAAATATATGCTCACAGTAGATGTGCAATGTCAATCGTGTGGCTTTTATTTCCTGGCATGCCACTGCTCTTAGAGGTCCTCACCCTTGGGTGGTACTGACCGTGCCTCCTGTCAGAAGTTGCTCATGTGCTGGGAGATGCAACAATAATCAGACAATTCTTTCCAGCCTCTTTCTGACCACAGTGTCTCTTCCTCTTCCTTCCACACCCCACAGTTTCTCAACCAGAGACAGTGATCATATCTTATCATTTTTTTCTCTCTGTTTGGAGAAGATATCAAACAAAGGTCTTCAAAAGCTTTTCTGGCCCTGTCTAGTGTGGCTCAATTGACTGAGATCATCCTCGCAAGTATAAAGTCACCAGTTTGATGCTGGTTCAGTGCACATGCCTGGATTGTAGGCTCGTTCCCTGGTTGGGGCATGCGTGAGAGGCAGTCGATTCATGTTTTTCTCACATATCAATATTTCTCCTTTCTCTCCCACCCCTCTAAAAATAAATGAATAAAATCTTAAAATAAAATAAATTTTAAAAAACCTTTTCTGATTCATACAATTTCTAAAGTCGCAATATTAATAATATGTAATAGTAATTTTTTTAAGAAAGGTCTTTAAGATGTCTCAATAATTGAGTGATTATAAGAGATAAATGAAAAAAAATCTTCAGTATGTGTTGGTACCATATTTTTGCCTTAATTGAAATAACTCAAAGGTGATTCATTGGTAAAGTAAAATTAGCATCATTATTTTTAAGCAGAATTTGTTCATATTTATGTTTAATATTTTCTAAAGGAAAATTTGTTTATTTTAAGGTATTTTTGACAAATGCTGCAAATGTCTTTTTGCTGGAACCATGTGCTGAAGTTCCCATACTCTTGAAAGAACAAGTTGATGCTTGTAAAGCTGTTTTGATTATTTTTAGGCGCATGATAATGGAACTCATAATGAATAAAAAGACGTGGTGAGTTTATTTCAAATTAATATTGTAAAACAGTTCTGCTTTTCAACATAATTAAAATGTTATAGCCTTCATTTATTATATGGATTTACAGTTACCAATAAGATGATAGTCTTTTGTAAAAGCTTCTGTGAATTATGAAGAAGGTAAATATTTAGTACTTTGATAATTCATTTATTTTCATTATTGGTTTTTAAAATGTTCTTGAATTAAAAGTAAGTAGTCAAATTACTTTAATAGTAGACTTTTTCATTTTAAACTGATATCAGTTTTGTGGAAAAGCTGTATAACTGAAATTTTATAATACTGGATTGGCCCAAAATTTCATTTGTTTTTTTTCCATAAGATGGCTCTAGTAGTGCTTAGTTGTCTTTAACTTCATTCTAAACAATTTTGTTAGATTGTATTGTGATAGCTGTCATATCAGTGGTGCATTTTTAAAAAACGTATCAAAGTGGCAAATTTTTGTGTAGCAATTTTAATATCAAAGATGGAAGAAAATATGCAATATTTTTGGCATATTATGCTTTATTAGAAATAAAGAAAGGTAAAAACACAACTGAAATGCAAAAAAAGATTGGTTCAGTGTATGGAGAAGGTGCTGTGACTGATCAAATGTGTTTCAAAGGTAGTTTGCAAAGTTTTGTGCCAGAGATTTCTCGCTGAATGATAATACTCCATGGTTGGGTAGACCAGTTGAAGTTGATAGTGATTAAATCAATACATTAATTGAGAACAATCAATATTATACCATGTGGGACATAGATGACATACTCAAATCATCCAATTTAAATAAAGTTGTTGGTGAAAATGAAAAATGTGTCTTTTATTTTATGGAAAAACCCGTATGGATTTTTTTGGCCAACCAGTACATTCTTCATAGGCCCAGGAGAATTTATTAATTACTCCAAAATGCTGTTAACTGACTTTCATTTCTTCAAACTTGAAGTTTTAAATTCATTTGGAAAAATATTATTTTAAATGTAAATTGTCAGAGTGACTGAGTCAAAAATATCTTGGCATTGTTAAAATATGCTTATTCAAAGTGTTTTCATTTTTATACTTCATTTGTGTTTGGTGTTTTTTATAATATCCCTAAACATTAACAGTACATTTGGTCTTTTTCCCATGCCCGTGTCCCAAGTGAATACCTACATAGCACTTTGGCTTCTGAGGTATTCTTAGAGGTTCTCAGCCACACACTAGAGCATCTCAGAGCTGCTTTCTACTTCTTTTTTTTCTTAATGCATCACAAATACAGCCTCTCAGTTCTCCCTTTAAAATGTCTGTCGACTCCATTTTTTGCATGTTCCTTTTACCCAGCCACCATTCTCCACTGCCCTCAGTACTCACCTGGGTACTGTCAGTGTTCCTCTTGGTGATCTTTGGCTGTGGCTTTCAGTTCACTGAGGCCACTGCAGACCAGCATCAATGGCACACTTCCTTCATGCAAATTTTGGGGGTCTTTGTTACCAGGCCTGTGTTCTGGATGCATTTCTAGACATCCTTGAGCCCGCACAAAGATTGCTTTGGAAAGATCTGTCTGCAGATTGTGGAAACTAGAAAAATGAGTTAGGATTGAACTGGCAGGGGCCTCAGGGGCAATGGAATCCAGCCCTTTTCTTTTTCAGGTGAGGGAAAGGTAGGCCTAGAGAAACCCTGTTTGCAGATAGTTTACTAATAAAGAAACTACAAGCATCAAAATGATTATTTTAAGATATAAATTCCACTGTCATCTTTCCCAGACTTAAACTTAGAAACTTAGCCCTGTTTGCCAAGAAGCAGTTGTTAAAGCTCAAAATAATTAGAGTGATAATATGATTTAAACAAAGTTAAATGCTGTGTCAGTATTATTGAAAGTGATGAGAAATACTGGTATGCTTTGAACTGCAGCATCTGCTCCTTGATACCAGTTATAATAATAGTATTTTTGATGTTTTTTTCTTTGAAAACTCGATGAATTCAGTATATTATTGTGTCAGGAGTTTTTTGATATTTTTATAAGCTTTTTTAGTGAAAATTTTAGAAAAGGAAATTATGCAATTCCTTTCTGTTCCTTAAAATTCAGAAATTTCCAGGTAAAAGTATAAAATAAAACCAAATATAGAAATAGATGATCCCTGGCTGGTGGTGTTCAGTGGATTGAACACCGGCCTGCAAAGAAAGGGGTGGCTAGTTGATTCCCAGTCAAAGCACATGCCTGGGTTGTAGGCCAGGTCCCCAATATAGGGGGTGTGCGAAAGGCAATCACACATGGATGTTTCTCTCCCTCTCTTTCTCCCTCCCTTCTCCTTTAAAAATAAATAAATGAAATCTTTTTTTTTAAAAAAGAGAGAAAGAAAAGTTGAAAATACTCACCAAAAAATAGTCCATAGAATATATAAAGAGATGTGCCTTTAATGTGAGCAGACAGTGGTGACACTGGAGACTGCCCTTCTCTTTATCTATGATGGGTCTGGGGACTCTGAATGTGGTGAGTGACAGACTGTCCCCTGCTCTGCTCCATTTCTTTCCTTACCTCTTCACAGTCACTGTCCACTCCATGCACATGTGCCCATAACTCTATACCTTGATAGGTCTTCTTATTCCCTGCTCCAGAATCCATAGGCAGTATATAAGACAAGCAAACAGGTAGAACAGAGTGCAATGAGACTGTATGCCAAAAAATAACCCTACAACGAAAATTTAATGGGGTCTCAGATGCAAATAGGGCAGGAAATCCCTAAAGGTCATAGAGATTTAATGAGATTCAATGTCATGGTGAGAGAAGATACTGTCCTGATATGTAGAAATATGAGAAAAGTATAAAGGAACTGTGATTTAGAGATCTCATCTGACTTGGACTTTGTCCAGCTATCGATTTTATCACTAATGAGCAGTAAGGCCAAGGAGAAAGTTATAAAGATAAACAAATGGTTAGTAAGATCTCAAAGAAGTTAAAAGGAACTGAGGTGATTTCCCTCAGAGAACAAATAGACTGTCCTATATACAAAAGATAATGTGTTCTCAGATGGAATTTGGGATAAAAAAAAGTGAGCACTCTGATGAGAAGAATGTAATTTAGCTGTAAGAAGGAAAAATGCCCATTAGCTGTTCTGAAGACCTTATTACTGTAATAATTAGCAGTGTTAGTCTGTCTCTGTAGTGCTTTATCCTCTTCAAAGATCTTTTACATAAAAACCCCTTTCTGCAAGGTACACTGTGACTAAAGTGTCATGATTGCAGCTGTCTCAGTTACGCTCTGTGGTACAGAGTCAGAATCTTCCAGGCACAAAACTCCTCTAAGTGACCAACAGTGACCTTTCCAAACCTTCCTACCTTAAGAGTACTGTGGAGTTCGGTTATACTATTATGCTGACTGCATATCTCCCCAGAATGAAGACCAGAAAGTCAGTTTTATTTTCTGTCACAAAGATAGATAAGGAGACCTTAAAGGCTAAATAAAATAATGGATATGGAAATTAAAGGGCGCTGCATAAGTTCAAATAGGCACATTTGGAGAAACAGTCTTGTCTCCCTTCTTGCAAGGGGAGAATAATCAAACCAGGACAGTACCTGTTTTATCCTGCCTATTAATGTTGTGGGCTTGGGAGGCATATTTTTAGAACTGTTGTAACATAAGGTAGCTTATTTTGATAGAACATAGTATTTGCTATGTAATTGACATTCTAATTTTTAATAATTTTGAGTAATACATGTTTACCAGTGTTGCTGAATTCTTAACAGAATTTCTTGCACCTATAAATTAAAGTGCTTTGGAGATGTGATTAATATGAGCTTTTATTTTGGCTGACCCAGGGAACAGATGTTGCAAATACTACTCAGAATAACAGAAGCTGTCCTGCAGAAGCCAAAGGATAAACAAATAAAGGACTTGTTTGCCCAGAGTTTGGCAGGGTTACTATTTAGGGTAAGTCTTTTTTATTAAAACACTGCAAATGCATAAAATGAATCAGATTTTACATCAAAGTAGTTTTAATCACTGAGAATTTTAAGAGTAAAAATTAAACTAAGTTTAAATTTCTAGAAATTTAATTAGAAATTTTCCTTAGTTTTGTCATGAAAGTTGTAATCTATTCTTTACAGTTAGTTCAGGGCTTCTTTTATGCCTTACTTCTTTGCCATTTACTTCCTCTTTTTATTTGCTTGAGGTTGGTAGAAATTAGGAAAATACCAAGAGCTGATGGCTTTGGTGGATAGTCAGGCCAATTTGAAGGAGGTAAAGGATGAACAGAAACATGGAATGGGAATAAGGTCAGGAGCAGTGTAGGCTAGAAATAAAAATGTGAGTGTCATTGCTGTGTTGAACAATTGTGTTTAAAGCCACAGGATCAGATGGGATTACCTGGGGAGAGAATTTATGTCATAGAGAGAAGTGGGCCATTTCTGTGATTGGTGAAGGAGAGGAGCCAGCCAAAGATACTGAGAAAGTGACCAGGGAGCTAGGAGGAAAACTAGAGGAACATATGTCTGGATGCCTGGAGAAGAGTATTGGTTAAGAGGGGAATGGCCAGTGGACCACTGACTTTAGCAATATGTAGGTGGTTGAGAATGTTTTAGGAGACTGAGGCCCATTTAGGGTGGATGGAAGAGAAAATGGGAGCGAGGCAGTGGAGGTTGAAAGGTTTTGCAGAGGTATTGATGTGGAAGGGAGGAGGGAAAGGAAACTAGCTGGAGTAGGCAGCATACTTAGAGGGCAGAGTTTAAGGTGGTTGGTGTTAAAGTATGTTTGCTTGTTAGTGGGGATGGTTTAGCAAGGGAGAAAAAGATAGTTTGTGGGAGTGGGAGGAGTACTACAGAAATGAAGTCCAAGATGAGATGAGGAAGGCTGGGCTGACTTTAGGAGATGTCTGTTTTTTGTATCACATATAATGAGAAGGGTCAAGAAATTTGACATCACCCTGAGGAGGAGAGACAAGAAGGCAGATAATAAATAACTGCCTGGAAAGTGGAAGTTTTAAAAGGTCCTGAGGGCACTAGCCTATTGCAACTATTAGAAAGTACTAATATTTATGGGATACAGAGAATTATGAAGCATTATGAAAGAAACAGTGTGAAAGGACTCTGGAATAATGTGACATTCTACACAAAGGCATTAGTACAATAGATGAGCCTGACTGAATACTTTAACATGAGAAAGAATGGTGGATTATCAGCTGGAAGGGACAATTGCAGGGAGATGCTAACTTATCTCTTCAGTTGATGTGAATGTGGTTTTGGAGGATATAAAGAGCATATCTAGAATACAGGTAGGATATGTAAGTGAAGGTGATAAAAAGAGAAATTAGTTCTTTAAATAAAGCAGATTATCCCCATTGTTAAATAAGAAAACCCAATGGTTCATATTAATTTTTAATAATTTAATATGATTGATGGTCTTGACCTGATGAAAAATGCATGAGAAGCTACAGAAATAATTGGCCTGTTTACTCACTTGCCTCCTGAATAGTCTAATCACTTGGACTTTGATTGCCTTGTCTAGCTATTGGATATATGTAGTAGTCTACACATCCTTTTGCGAGTGTCATATTTTGCTGTCCTCTTGCCTCATGATAGTGGTACAAACCACTTGCTTTGCTGTCCCCCTGGAAATAGATACTCTACTCATTTTGCTCTGACTTTGGCAAAGCATCTCACTGTCAGTACCATCTTAATCTCTCAGTCCTGATGGGACTGGTGCTGCCAAGTGATAAGGACTGATGTCAAGCTCAGGCTGGTGGGTACTTAGGCCTTATTTGTCACCATTTGCCTGGCCCTGCATGTATGTAATAGAATCAGAGTGAGAACTTGTCACCGAATTAAGCAAGACTGTTGTGGAGCTGTGTTTTTTGTTTGATTGGTTTTGTTTTGGGGGAGAAAAACATTTCCCTCCTTAATGGAAAAATCTTGTCAGATCTTACTTGAAGATTAGATTTAAGTCCATGATTATTAATGATTTTGATGTTGTTTTATTATTATTTTGGCAGTGGTTAGATGGGTCAAGAAGAATGCTTAAATTAAGAAATAGCCATAAGTCCTGACTGGTGTGGCTCAGTGGATAGAGTGCCAGCCTGTGACCCAAAGGGTCTCAGGTTTGATTCCCCATCAGGGCACATGCCTGAGTTGTAGGCCAGGTCCCCAGTAAGAAGTGCATGAGAGGCATCCACACATTGATGTTTCTGTTCCTTTCTTTCTCCCTCCTTTCCCCTCTTTCTAAAAATAAATAAATAAAGTCTTTTTTTAAAAAAAACTAACGATAAAATCGTGGAGAGAAGATGAGCTTTTGGGAGTTAGTCTTTTTTTTTTAATGTTATCAATCCAATTTATTAATTATTTTCACAGTGAGGTGAAGGGAGAAAGGCCACATCCTTCCACTGCAGACCCTCTGACCATCTTGACAGTTTCTGCTCTTTCTGGTGCCCTCAGCTCTGCCTTGGTTTCCCTACTGAGACGGGGGATCTTCTGCTGTCCTATGTGCCCTGAAACTAACACCCAAGAGGAGGCTGGAAAATCCTAAGAGAGTTTCTCAGCTGCTCCTAAGGCACAGCCAGGGACAGAGAAGTCATAAGGATCAGGACAAGCAGGGTAAGCTGTAGCAGAGGTAGGACAGACTAAAGTCCTTTACTTCAGAGGGAGGAGCCACACTGTGGAGGGAAAATAAACAGAGGAGCCCAGGGCAGTAGTCCAGGCCCCCCAGGGGCACACTGATTATAGATGTAGCAGGTGAGTGGGAGCCCCAGCACATTGGCTCCAGGCCCCTTTCCCACCAAGGGAAAGATGCTTGTAGGCCTTGTTCATCTACTCCACAAAGATTAAACTGAACACGGTGTTGGGGCCTAAGTGGGCATAGTATGGTGTAAATCCCTTTCACAGGTTGAAGAAGACCTCATAGCGAACGACCTTCACCAGCACATCCAGCCTGTTTTTGTATTCTGGCTTCCCATCAATCATTTGCATGTTCTGGTTCTTGACAAAGCCAATGGGCATGGAGGCAGCAGTAGGGACCAGGCCACTGAGCATGCTGGCACAAAAGTGGCATAGGATCTTGTCCAGGAAATAGCCTGAGTCCAGTAAGAACTGCTTGGATTAAGAATAAGAGGCAAGCTGGGCGGCATTGACGACAGCTGCCCAAGCCATGGTTGGGATGCAGCCCCTCCATAACGTGGGGACCCCTCCTCCCAGGAAATTCGAATCAGGGCATTAAGCACATTTTTGTAGCCAAAGCACTGGTCAGCTGAAAGCAGGCCATTGGCCACCATGTGGATTAGAGCCATCTCAGTTGATGTTCCTACAAAGGTACCAGTTGCAGCTGTAGTCATGCTAATCAGGACTTTCAACAGAAAGTCGGGGGTTATACCATCATCCCCAGTCAGGCTTTGAAATAGCACAGTATAGATGCCAAGGCAAGTGGTGGTGTTAGTGGTCTGGCACTGTAGGGAAACTGACAGCCTGGTGTAAATGCTCCTCAGCTCTTCTGCCTTAAGGATACTGGTTAGGGCATGGAAGATGGTTTTAAACTCTTGTGTCTTGGCTTCTTTCCCTGCTCAGCTGCATCCAGTACTTCACCAGGTCCAGGGGTTGCACAAAAACTGTAGCTTCCATCCTGGCCAGGCCCCCAAGCAGGAGCTTGACCAACTTAGGGGAGGTACAGGTATCCTGTCTATCCAGGTGGCCCCAGGACTTGCCATCACCACTGTCTCTTGATGGCCCTCGACACATGGTCCCATGCATGCAAGACCCCTCTCATGCCCCAGGTGACACCTCATGTGCAACAGGGGCACAGGTGCACATACACAGCCCCATGGCTCTCAGGTCAGGGAGTTAGAGTCTGGGTTCTGATTGCTGCTCTGGCATTTCTGGCTGTGTGGTATGGAGTAAATCACTTCACCTTTTTGAGTCTCTTCCCTAATCTGTCACAATCAGGAAAGGATTCCTTCCTATCTTGCTGGGTTATCCTAAGAATGAGAGTGGACTTATTTGGGATATATGTTCATCTTTTGACTTCTCAAGTGCTTTTGTGAGATCCAAGGGTGGGTGGGAAATGTGAAAGGTTTGTACAGGGATGCCAGGCTATCAAGTAGGCATCATCTTAGTCCCATAGTAAAATTAAAATCTGCCATCTAATTATTATTCATTTGGTCATGTGGACTGTCTACAATTACCAGATACTTAATTTTTTTTTTTTTAGAGAGAGTAAATAAAATTTGTATTTGGAAAAATATTTTAGGATCCTTTTGATTATTATCTACTTGTTTTATGGGTTCTTCTGACCATTCAGTATATAATTTGATTTGTGACAACATGAAAAAAAAAATAAAAGAGCCTCAGATCCATACCAGAAGTCTTTAAGCAAATGGAGGACATTGAAAAAAAAAATGTGATTAATTAACCAACTCCCCAAATGATCAAGCACTTGGAAAGTTAAACACCATCATGGCTTTTCTGGTAGAGTCTGTGGGGTTATCTATGCACGCTATCATGTCACCTACAAACAATGACAGTTGTACTTCGTATTTTACAATTTGGATGCATTTTTATTCTTTTTCTTCTCTGATCACTGTGGCTAGGACTTCCAATACTATGTTGAATAGAAGTGGTGAAAGCAGACATCTTAGTCTTCTTCCCAATCTTAGTGGGAAGGCTTTTAGTTTTCCCTGTTGAGTATAATGTTGACTATAGGTTTTTCATTTATGGCCTTTATTATGTTGAGGTATGACCCCCCTTTATTCCCAGTTTAACCCCCCTTTATTCCCAGTTTGCTGAATGCTTTTATCATAAATGGATGCTGTACATTATCAAATGCTTTTTCTGCATCTATTGATATGATCATGTGATTTTTTTCTTTCCTTTGTGTATGTGATGTATTACGTTTATTGATTTGTGAATATTGAACCATCCTTGCATCCCTGGGATGAATCCCACTTGATCCCG